CCCCCACCCCATGCTCTGCCCGCTGGGCTCTCCGGCCCCTTCCCGTCCGGTAGGGTGGGGCTTCGGGCAGGAGCTGCTGCAGACGAGGAGTTAGGGGACCTGGCCCTCCGCTGGCCTGGGAGGGGTGTGGGGAGGGGAGCGCCTTCCCAGTGGGGCTGAACCAAAGCCCCTGGAAACCCCAGCACCGCCGCTCCAGCCTCCCGCCGCCTCTGGGTGTAATCCAGGTCAGGAGGTGGGGGGCTCCTGGGCTGCCCAAGCTCCTTGGTGGGAACCTGCCCCACCTTTCCCGGTGGAGAGGCCGAGGCTAGCCTGGACCCTGAGCACCTGGGGGTCCTCGCCCTCCCCCTGCTGTTAACCACCCCCCCACACACACACCCCGGCCTCTGGGTGGGATGCTCCGGTGCTTAGCGTCCCTCTGGCCCTGGACTGCCCGAGTCTTTCCCTCAGACCTGAGCCCGCACCTGCTTCAGCCCCAGCCTCTCTGTCTTCAGCTGAGGACCTCTGAGGGGTTTCGGAGCTGACCCCTGGGCCGCGGGTTGGGCTTTGGCCCTCCCCACATGAGGACCCCTGCTCTTCCTGGACCCTTTAGGCTCCTGGGTACCACAGCGCAGCCAGGGTCAGTGGTGGCCAGGGACACAGGCAGAAATCGGGGGACATTTGCGTGTTCTTGGCTTCTCTCTCTTTCCTGGTTGTGGCCCAGGTCGGGGTGGGAGGCGTCCCTCTCCACCTGCCCCTCCCAGCCCCCCAGGACAGGGCCCACCTAAGCCTGGTGAGGAGGCTGTGCTGCCCGGAGCCTGGCGCTTGCTGGGTCTGGCGCTGAGGGCTGACTGTGGACAGATGGGACCTGGGGCCGGACCCCCTGGGGCCCAGATCTGGGGCTTGCTCTGCCTGGGACGGCTCCCGGGGGTGTGGGAGGGGCTGCCCCCCCAGGCCAGCATCTGCTCCACGGCTGCTCACTTCCTGGGCTTCCTGTCTGCGTCCCGCACAGACTTTCTGGGAGACGGAGGCTTTCCCTCCAGCCCACACTCTTCATCGAGCGTGGGCCTCCTTCTCAGACGCAGGCAGGGGTGTCCCGCCTCTCCCACCGGCCTGGGGCTGAGGAGGTGGTTAGAGGGCGGGGCTCAGGCCGCTCTGCACTGCCCCTCCCAGCCCTTCCTCCAAAAGCCGGCAGTGGGGCCTGGGTCCGTCCCCTCCCCAGCTGAGCCGGGTGCCCTGGGTCTCTCAGGAAGACACTGGAAAACGGGCTCCTGTCCTCCGCCCGCCTCGGCCAGGCCCAGCCCCTGTTGGGACACGAGGCTGCCCTGTGTGCGCACGGCGTGCCCTCTGCTGGGGAACAGGGCGGACAGAAGAGGACAGGTCCAAGATGTCCGGACGCCATGCCTGGCTTTCAAAAGGCCCAAGCCCTTCCCTGCCTGAGTCCTGGTCCGAGTCCCCAGGAATGGCCTTCGTTGCTCCCTCGTCCCAAGTACTGCCTGAGGCGGCCTGGGCCTGAGATCCCCGCTCTGCCCTGGGGCAGCAGGGAGGACCCCGTGGGGCCGGGTCAGCACACTAGCCCTGCCATTTGGCCCTTCAGCTGCCCGAGGCCTTGGGGCCCGAGTTCTCAGACGCCCACAGGACGTGGCTGAACTTTGTCCTGCGGCCTGATGACGGGGCCTTGAAGAAACGGTGCCGAGGCCGGGACAAGAAGTCGGTGAGCCTGGGGTCTGAGCCTGGGGCGGGGTAGCTGTGGCTCCCGCTGGGATCCTCACAGTCTCCTGCCTCTCCCAGCGAGGCCTCTCCAGCCCCCCCGGCCCCCCCG